TGGGGCAACATTACAATATTCCTGACCCTTAATCTATACCTTCAATAATTCATGAAATTGTACAGATCTCATGTCCTAGCTGCTCTTTTGATTTGCTATACCCAGCAGCACAGCTTGGCTCAGTTCACAATACCACAGCTCATACATCCTACAAAGCAAAACCACCAAAAAACGGGGGACTGCAGACCTGCAGCACAAATAGAACCCATAACTAAATTAAAGCTCTAGACACGAAGCTTCCTCCATCCCTCAGAGATATCCCAGTTTTCTTATTATTAAATCCTGTCAGGGTGTGGCTTTGTTAAACCAAAGTTCCCACTGCAAAGGCCTCCTGCAATCCCCTCCAAGCCAATGCACATCTCAGTGAAACCCTCCAAAAATTAGGAGTGTCTTCTTGCACCCAGGCACCAAATTTAAGCCCAGAACAGACTCCTCCAGCTGCACAAGCAGCCAGGCAGGGAAGGGAGCTGTTCCCCAAATCTTACAACCCAGAACCTCCCGTGAGCCTCCCCAGACAGGTACCCTGCTCCTGCCACCTCAAGCACAGGTACCCAGGGAGCACCGCCAGGCCCCACAGAGCACTCACTGCTCCAGCCTGGCAGCCTCTGGAAAAGGTTCAGTAGTAGGTATGCTCCTCTCACATCGAGGGGAGCACTGATAAATTTCTGCCTTTGTGAAGGATTCCTCTGGAAACATGACTCAATGGTTTTTCCTTACCTGCTACACTTGCACATTAATCTCACACTGTAACGTGCTGCCTTGTAGATTCTTAAATCAGTCAGTCAGGATTTCATAATTATGTAGTCTAGGGTCTTTGTTAGCTGTTGTTGCTCCATGCACAAAAGGAAACATTTTGTTGCTATCGCTGTAAAACCTATTAATTAACTGCACATATATTCGGCCACAGTTTGTACTATAAAAATAACTGCTACATTGAATTAAAGTGGTCTGCTAGATTAATTGTTCTAAAGCCCTCAATAGAGCATAAATTGCATAAAGCTTCACACAGAATAGGAACGCAGCAGAAAATACCTTAAAAATAGCAACTTCTCATCAGTAACAAACACAAGCACGTTCCTTCAAAGTAAAAAGCACAAACAAAACCGAAACTGGTTCAAACCAAGAAATTCCTCTTGAACATCTATGCACTGAACAGCAACGTTTTAATCGTTCTACTTCCTTAAATAATCTACCTTTCTCAGAGACAAGTTTTACAAAGAACATGCTTTGTGAGTTACTGTGCAATTCATAAACGTACAAAACACCATCCAAAAACTGAGGTGAAATAGCAAAATATTTGGTTTGCTTGGGGATTTTTTTAGTATTCACTGCACGGATTCGCAGTTTAATACAGTAAAAGAAGATACATAGATATTTCTGAAAACGTATTTCAAAACTATCAAAATGCCCCACAACTTCAGATTCTATATACTAAGATTACAATTGACTAGCATTTTTTAAAAAGCATTATACATAAGAAAGGCACAAAACTCAACTAATAGGCTGAATTGCTCCTTACGCCACTTAATTTTACGGTACGCAAAATAAAACTTAAACCAGGGATTTTATGCGACAGATGATCTAATTAGATGTGAAGCTTTTATTTTCTATCTGGCATCCTTAAGCTCTATCCCATACGGGATTCGGTCTAATATTTCCGATAGCCTCAGCAGCATTCACACAGCAGACACGAGTTCTGGTCCACCAACAGTTAATGTACATTATCTAACTGGTTTGACATGTCACTCCCCTACCTTTTTGATTAATGGGAAGAAGTGCTCTTATAAATAACTCTGAAAATCGAAAGGAAACCACGAGATTTTTTTCTTTTTTAAATATAAGCAGAAAGGAAAGTGTACTTGCTTTTCCTTCCATCCCTCCCCCCTCCCCCCACGTCCTGACATTGAGCTTTTCCAATCCTGCCAGAAATAAACACCCAAACACAAGCACAGGCCTAGGCTATCCAATTCAACACGCTTTAGAGTCAAATCTTCAGATCAACCAAAACCAGCGGCAGAAAAAAAAAATTCTCCACGATACACTCCGGGCACAACAATGGGATGAGCAGTGTCAAACGCCAGACTACTGACAGGAACAAGCCAGGAAGCAGGAACCAGAGCAGCACTGTCCCCTTGGCTTCAGCCGTGTAGCATTTCAAAAACAGTTCCACTTATTCTGTTACCCGAACGTTTCCCTGGCGTGTGGTGTTTTAAGCACAGCTGGCAGACACTCGGCCCGCACAGCCTTTGTCAGCAGCTCACGGATGGGCAGCAGAACGTGCTACAGGTTGATAAGGAAGGCACCGGCGCTGCAAAGCAGCAGGAAAGCGCCCAGAAAGAACTTGGGATGCGCAGGAGAGTTTCCCTCAGCCTTCACCGGGGGCTCCACGCTCCCCATACTCGCTCCCGGTGTTTGTTTCGTGTTTACCTCCCCCCCCTTCTCTTTCTCCTCCCTGTCCGGCCATCTTGGGCCGACAGGAGCAGCCATTACTTAACTAAATGACAGGGCCAACAACTTTCCACAGAGACAAACACCTCTCTCCGGACACCGGGCCGGGCGGCAGCAGCCCGCGGGACGCCCCGCTCCCTGTCAAGCCGGGACGGCGGGCGGGACGCGGGGCTCGGTAAGGACCGGGCACGCTGGATGGAGGCAGCGGGGCCCGCAGAGTAAACAAGTCACTCGGACGGGCTCCGGGAGCCGCTCAGCGCCGCGCCCGCCCCAGCCCGGACCCCGCGCTCCCCGCGGGCTCCGGCCCCGGCTCCGCTCCCGGCGGCTGGGGGCGAAAATCACGAGGGAGGGTCCGGGGAGCGGCAACGTCAGCAGCGCCGAGCGCGCCCTCCCTCCCTCGCTCTCCCCCCGCTGCCGCCGCCTCCTCCTCCTCGTCCTCCGCCTCCCCCCCCTCCGCCCCCGCGCCCCCTCCCCCGGCCCGTCCGCTCCCGGCCCCGGGTTCCGCCACTTTCCCGTCCCAGGGCTGGACAGGCACCCGCATGGCCACGCTCCCCTCGTCCCGCTCGGGGAGAATGGCGGGGGGGAGGGGGGGTAAAAAGGAAAGGGGCAAAGGCGGCAGCAACGCGCTGAGACCCCGCGGAGGTGGCGGTGCCCCCCGCACACCCCCTGCACACACTCACCGTGCGGGCCCGGGGGTCCCGAGGGAAGGGGCGGCGGGGCCGCCTCGCTCCCCATCCCCCGTTTCCCCCCCCTCCCCCCCATCCCCGCTCCACATCCACCCTCGCGCTTACCTTTAACAGCAAGGCCTTCGTTCTGGCGCCATCTTCATGAAGCCTCAGAAATCCGAAGAGCCGGCTGCGAGGAGGGGAGCGGGCGGGAGGGAGGGGAGAGAGAGGCACCGGCGTTAGCGAGAGTCAGCGCGGCGGGCGGGCGAGAGCAGAGCGCGGCCCGGGAGCGGCGGCGCACGGGGAGCCGCGGGCAGGGGAGCGGGGGGACACGGAGGGAGCGCGGGCCGAGCCGGGACACGGAGGCGGCCGGGGCGCAGTGGGGAGCGGGTACCTGTCGAGGCCGGATAGGGCTTCTCTCTCCTGGGCTGTCAAGCTGGCGAAGTCCTCCTCGCTCTGGCCGCTCGCTTTCCCCGCCGCCATTTTCTTTTCCTCATCACCGAAAGGAGCAGCAGAGGCGGCGGCGGCGAGCGACACTCCGCACGATTTCATGGAAACGCAGCGTAATTAACTCGCGGATCGCACCCCCCCCTCCCTGCGCGCCCCCAACACCCCCCAGCGCCGGGCGGGGCGGGGTGCCCGACACACACACACACCACAACTTTTATTACAACAACAACAGCCGGCAGGGAGGGGGAGGGAGGGATGGAGGGAGGGAGCCCCAGCGCTGGAGACTCGGGGGAGGAGGAGGAGGCGGCGGCTGCGGATGGCGGCGGAGCGGTGTTTACATCGCCGCTCGCCGCCGGCGGCGCGGAGAGGCGAAGTGTCGGGGAGCCGGGGGAACCGTCTCCGCCCGCCCCGCGGCTCGGGGTGTGTTTTGCCGCCCGTACAAACTTCCCCGGAGCCGCTGCCCAAAGTTGTTGTAATTGTGTCACACCGCGGACCCCGCGCGCCGCCACCGCGACCCCCCCGTCCCGCCCCGCCCGCCCGCGTCAGCGCAGCCAATCGGCGGCTCCGCCGCGCCCCACGTGACCTTTGTTGACTTACGTCAGTCATTGCGCTCCGCCGCCGCTGCGCTCCGGTTTGGTTGGCCCTCGCCGCCCGCCTCCCCCGCCGGCCTCACGCCATTGGTCAGTAAGTGATAAGGGGGGTGGAGTTTCGGCGAGCCGCCGATTGTGATAGGCTGAGCGGGCCGTCAGTCAGATGAGCTTTTCGATTAGCGAGCGCCAGCAGGTTGGGATGCGCCTTTAAAAGCGAACGGCGGGGGAGGGGGGGCGATGTCGGGAGTGGCGGGCGTTGGGGTGGGAAGAGGAGGAGGAACGAGGGAGGGCTGCGCTCACGGGTGGAGTTGCGTAACGGGGGCTCCGGGCTGGAGGAGTGGACGCCGCTGAGGAAGGCGCCATGTCCCACCGGCGGGGGGCAGTAGGTCCCCCCGCCTCCCCCGGGAGCCCGTGACAGGTGGAGCGGGCCCCGCCGGCGCGCGCGCGCCCTCGCGGCTGTCACGTGGCGCGGAGCGCCGCCGCGCGCTTCGCGCGAGAGGCGCGGCAAGTCTCGCGATGCCTCGAGGGCCTCGGGGCGTGAGGGCGGGGAGGGCCCGGCCCGGGCCCGGCGGGAGCGGTGCGAGAAGCGCGAAGGACGGGAATGGCAACACCGGGGAGTTCGGGCTTCTGGGCACGCCTCGCGTGTGAGTAAAGCTCTGGATTTCTTCAGGCGCGGGAAGGAAAGATAGTTTGCTGCTTGCTTTCCCTGCTTCGTAAGGCTTAGCGCAGCTCCAGCCCGACCTGTAGATGAAGCGTTACCTTGGCATCGTAGACTGACTGGGGATTTGAAAGGTCATCTCGTCCCAGCCGCCTGCCATGGGCACGGACACCTTCTGCTAGACCTCGGGCGTGGCGCTCTTGGCACAAGCGGAAAATAAAGGCTTCCCGGAGCGGTAACGGGGCTGTACGCTGGTCCCATGGAGATGCCTTGGTCTGCGGGCAACGGTCGCACGGAAGGGCGGGGGCCGCCCCCGCCGTTGGTTTCGCCCACGCCCCCCTCCCCCCCGCCTCCCCCGGGAGCCCGTGACAGGTGGAGCGGGCCCCGCCGGCGCGCGCGCGCCCTCGCGGCTGTCACGTGGCGCGGAGCGCCGCCGCGCGCTTCGCGCGAGAGGCGCGGCAAGTCTCGCGATGCCTCGAGGGCCTCGGGGCGTGAGGGCGGGGAGGGCCCGGCCCGGGCCCGGCGGGAGCGGTGCGAGAAGCGCGAAGGACGGGAATGGCAACACCGGGGAGTTCGGGCTTCTGGGCACGCCTCGCGTGTGAGTAAAGCTCTGGATTTCTTCAGGCGCGGGAAGGAAAGATAGTTTGCTGCTTGCTTTCCCTGCTTCGTAAGGCTTAGCGCAGCTCCAGCCCGACCTGTAGATGAAGCGTTACCTTGGCATCGTAGACTGACTGGGGATTTGAAAGGTCATCTCGTCCCAGCCGCCTGCCATGGGCACGGACACCTTCTGCTAGACCCGGTTGCTCAGAGTCCCATCCAACCTGGCCTTGAACGCTTCTGGGAATGGTTCATCCACGCTCCTGTGCCTCCAGACCATCCTTGGGTTTCTCCACCCTTCCCAGCTCAACCAGGAACCCAAGGGACCGCGTTTCTCCTGGCCACACAGCCAGGAGGCTTTAGTGCTTTTTAAGTAAGATGTTTGCAGATCATTCCATCTTGGCTCTTCTGTGGTGTGTACGAGGAGCTGAGCCCTGCTGTGGGTGTGTGAGGGCACAGCTCGTTCCCATTTGCTGGAAATAGCTCAGAATAGCCCTCCGTAACAGCATTGCGTCACTTCTCTGGTGTGTGGCTGAAGCTCTGTGTCTGGGCTGGCTTTTCCTATTTGAATTTCCTGTTTGATGATTGCTAGGTGCTCTAAAGCAAAAGTAAAGCCCTTTAGCTGCCTTTGGGAATTCAGTGAACAAGGCCAAAGACCATCCTATGCAGTGCTTGCTGCTTGCTGGTTCTCCTTTAATGCATGCTCTCCAATCATGCTCACAACACTGAAGCCCATTTCTGCCTCTTTAAGTGTTAAACTAACATGTCAGTGATGTTTTTCAGGTGGATCCTTACATGTTTTCTGGTCCTGATGGTGCAGAGACGCTGGCAGGAATGGAGACCTGGTCAAGACAAAGTCTTAAATAATGCAAATGAAGACTCAGAGTAGTGTGTCCATGCGGCTCTTAAAAGCAGTGCCTTGTAATGTAGCTCTGCTTTCTGATGCAAATGCAGGAAGAACAAAAAAAAGCATGTGGGTTTGATGATGTTGCATTTCTTCATGAAAGAGTCAGCAGCCAGTTTGTTGAGAGTATTGGTATAAGAGAAGGCATTTGTGTTTAAAGGACTTGCAAGTCTGAAATCCAGATAAAATGCAAGTTGTTTTTGGTTCTGGGAAGGGGCCATGGTCTGTTAATAGTGGAAACACTATGATCAAACATCTGTGTTCATCTGTATCGTCCATGGCTTCTCTCAGCAGAGTTTCCTCAGGTGCCAAAATCAGTGCCAAGAGCTGACCGGGTGGGAATGTGCCATAAGTGTGGGGTTTCAATGCAGAGTGTTTCTCAGTCTTGACTCTCAGGTGTAAAGTTTCCACTTTGCAGTATCCTGAGTATAAATCAGCAGAAAGGAGAGTAGACAAAACCATTTCTCAGTGGAAGGAAGGGATTGCTGAACAACAGAGCAAATCAAGAGACTTAGAAGCAGAGTCCTAGTCCAGCTGGAACTTGTGTGCACTTGAAGTCACAAGCCCTGAGTTACCTCTCTGGTACTGTCAGTGCCACTCTTAACCCCCATACCCTGGCTGAATTGCTGGCATTGAACTTCCAGATGCCTTTATTTATTTATTTGTTTGTTTATTTATTTATTTGCTGTCACTTCCAAGTCAGGTAGGAAATTTGAAGGAGCAGTAGATCAGTTGGATATAATTCAGATCTCATGGTCCTGTGTAGCCCAGGCATACTTTACTGTCACCTGCAGCAAGATCCATCCCTGGAAAAACTGTGGTGTTTGAAGCTGGGTATATCAGTTCATATTGGTTTGGTTTTCATTCCTGCTTTTGGAAGTTCTGGGCAGCTGCAAGCCTTGACCAGCTAAGCAAATGAGGGCAGAGGTCATCTCCTTACCCAAGAGTCTGAAAAAGGTCAGGAGCCATGTGTGATCTCTGCTGATGCTGTTTAAGGAAGGATTTTGAGGTGTGGAGTCACCATTGTGCTCCCAATAGCTCAGGAGGCCTCTGACTATGAGGCAAATCCTTTTGCAGCAGAGCAGGCAAAATGTGATGAGACAACCTTGGATTCACGTGACAACGTGACATGAAAGACAGCAACAAAAAAGCAGACTGACCAACAGAACCCACAGGATGCCATTTTGTGTCCTGCAAAACATAAATCTGATACTTATATTGTTGCCATCTTGATACATTTTAGTCAGCCTGCCTGAAATATGTGGGTATTTGGCTTGTGAGGGAAAGCAGCATAAACTAGTAAAATGTGCCAATGGGTCAGTTAGGGAGAAAGCAGTTTCATTAACACATCTCTTTTTCTGCTTTTGTTTTCCTTACTGTTGTTTTCTTTTACTCCAAGGTTAAAGAAGAAAAGCTTAAATTACTAAACTATTTTCTTGATATTTGGAACAAAAAATCCTGTGTGCTTCCTTTTTGTACTTTAGCAGTGGCTTTTCTTTTGTCCAGGAGTTCGTAGTAAAATTACCTGCAATTTACATGTTCCTTGTACTACCCTTGTTAAATTTCTGGTGGGTGTTGTGTGATGATCTGTGTTTTGACAGCATATGGTGGTCAAGAAACTGGGGAAGCTGATCTAAACCCCAAGGTTTTGGGTTGTTTTTAGTTGGTTTTTTTTTTCCCCACAGAAAAAGGCAAATGCTTTTGCTGGTAATAAGAAAAACCAATACATGGATAGGAGAATTATTATTGAAAATAGGAAAAAAGTCATCACGATGCTGTTTATCACTATGTTGAAGAAAAAATTGCTTTTTAATCTCAGGAATACTTTCCTAGCTTTGGGTAGTAAGGGGAGCGAACTAGTCTAGGAAATTGGTTATTATAAAGAAAGAAAATACAGGGTTTTTTTTTAATTAAAGTTTTAAAAAATCAAGGCTAAATGCTTTGGTTATAGACCTTAATTATTATTGTTCTGTCTTGTTTGAACAATGTAGTCATTTTTGTCTATTGTCCTCTCTGACTTTGGTTAGCATGAGTTTAAAACCTGGATTGTCTTTGAAAGTCTTAATGCTGGAATTCATCTGGGGGTGAAGTGGTAATTCATGGTCATAAGAAGTCCACACAGTCATCAGGTAAGCATTAAAATCCATCCCTGTGCAGCAGCATGTCAGCAATTCAGTCCAAACATGGAAAACTGAATTTGTGTCCTCACCTCGACTGCATTCTGAGCTGTTGGATGGCATTCAGAAAGCAGGGCATTTTGGGGTGTTCTGTACATTTGCTGTGTAAGAGAGACCAGTTCTGGCCATGCCAGCATGAGCACAGAGACCCCTTTGCTGAAGCTCTACCAGTGGAGGAAACAACTGTTGGAATATCTGTATCCTATTTTTGCACTGTATAAATTTGTGTAATGCTAACTGGCAGTTTCTGCTGACTTGGAGAAATAAATAATATGAAAAATTATACTTGTCCAGGAGGTGGTTCCTTTACAGTGCTACTGTTGGTAGATTTTACATCTTTTTTCAATTGTGCCTGTTCCTCCCACCTCCAGCACTTTTGGTTGTGTCTTTGGTGTGCATTCCAAATGTGGAAATGCTTTCATTTATGGTAATAGTTTTAGGTGAATGTCTGTCTTATCCCTAGGAACCAGATGTGACAGTTTATGACTTGCCACCTTCCAGAGAAATCACTTGTTTGACAGGAGATGATCCTGAACAAGGATCTCTGCTCTTCCAGAACAGTGCAGAGAAACTGAAATTTCTTGTGTTTCATGTGTTTCCATGCAGAAATTTGAGAAGCTTTTCTCTGTTGAGAAGCTGATAATAAAATACTGTGTTTATATTAACTTGTCTTCAGATTGACAGTTGTAACTTAATAGAATTTGGCAAATGCTGTAAAGAAGAGGAAAAAAAAAATCCCATCTTTTTGTTTCTGTGGTGTTTTTATATGTATTGACTTAATAATAGTTGCTGGGCTGATACCTTTGTAGCCTACTGGTTTTCTGGCTTGGAAGTGAAAAACAAACCACATTTATAAACCAGCTCTGAGCAAAATTATGAGGGTTTTTGTGTAAACATTTGAAAAAAGCCAATCCTGATGCTCAGCAAACCAGGTGAATGGATATCTTGTTAGCTTTTGTTAATCCTGGGATAGAATCCAATATTATCCAAAATACTTGATTATCTGCTATTTTTGTTTTTCTCCAAGAGCAGAGGATGTCACGTGCTCTTACTGCATTTAATTTAGTGTTTCATACACAAATCTTTTTGAGAAAGTATCTGGGAATTACTTATTTTAAAAGCCTCAACAGTTGTGTATGTTGCTTTTTGTTAACATTTATGTCCATGTCTAAAAGGACAAAAATCTTCAATAACCAATCTAAACACTCTTGGCTGTAGTCTCTCTTCTCTGTTCATTTCTTACATCAGCCACTTTTAAAATCGGGTGTTTTGCACATGGTAGACACTAAATCTTGTAATGGTGCGCAGGTGAGAGTTTTAAAGGTGCAAACAGCAGAAGCAGCTTTGGGACTTTGGGTGTGGCAGAGTCAAAGCCTTGGCTCAAGACTAAACACAAACAATGACAGTTCTCCATCCTTGTCCAAGCAGTTCAGGATTCCCTCGCAGCAATGGGTGAGTCAGGGCATTTCAAATGAAATAAAGCACCATGCTTCAATCTGCAGACTTAGTTGCTGTAGGACGACACTCTTATATTTTGAAGCTTCCCGAAATGAGGTGGCATTCCATTAATTTGATGTATAGGATACAGTGGGGTTGTACTCAAAGCATGTAAATGTGTTCATCCTATGTAACTGGAAGATAAGCAAAACACCGAACTGAAACTTTTTTTTGTTAAGTTTGCTATTTTCAAGAGGCGGGTTATGATTAGAATTTCTCTAGGAGTGCTCCACTGTGTCTTCTGCATGTCAATGAGAGTTGGATCAGACCTCTCACAGAGCTGCAAGCACCAGGATGATGTGAGGAAGACAAGTAGTTTCTACCACAGCTTGACATTCATAAAATCCAAAGCTAACCCTGCCTTTAAGTACATTTTTCCTTGCTTCCCCCTTCAGGTGCACTTCAGTTGAGAACCTGTGAAACAGGAAATCCCTAGGAATGACTGGGAGAATTTCCCATCTTATAGTTTCTCAAGGTACAGTTTGGTTTCTGTTTGGAAGTTTGCAGTTGTGTATTTGTATAAATATACTCAGTGCTACTGAAGTCAGTTTATGAGATGTTCTTCTCTAATGGTGTTTTGGTTTGGCTTTTGTCTGTAAATGAGTCCTGTGGTGTTTTCTCTTGTGAGGAAAGTCAAAACAGTGTTTTTCTCCATGGATAAGTAATCCCAAACTGAAAGCTGAGTGAGAGGAAGGAAATTGCCATTAGTCTCAATGAGACAAAAGTTTCTTGGGAATTGGGGTAGCAAAGGGAAGCTTCACTGAGAATCTGCAATGTTTTCCAAAGCCCTGATACCCTTAACTTGGTGCTCTTTCTGCCACTGGTGGATACACAAAATTTCACTGGAAATTGTGAATTCACATCTTCACATAACAAAATACTTGTCCCATGGCTTCTTAGTATCACTGAGAACAAAGTCCCTTTAATATTCCTTCCTCTCAATCAAAAATATCCACATCCCCTGCTGAACTCAGATGCTTACATGTAGGTATCCCAGCTACTCCAGTCTGGTCTAGAGACCATTAAAGTAATGATGCAACTGACACTATTTTAAAGACATGAAAGTTTGAAAGTGCATTGTTAACATTTCTTCCACATGAAAGTTTGAAAGTGTACAGATACATTTCTTCCCAAGGGTAATCTATACAAAAAAGGACCAGGATAGAGTCTTGAGAAATTATATTGGTCCTGTTCAGATCATAGTTTTTGTTTCCTGTACAAAGAAGAAGATAAGTGTGTGATTTTTAAGTACTTCTGTTGTCTATCATGTAATTGGTTTGGGATTTTTAGTAAGTGATTGGTTTTGTTTTTATTACATATTCCTTCAGTGCAGGCATATTTCTAATGAATAATTCCACCATCCCAAGGATGTGAACCTGCAGGTTCTGGAATATCTTCTGAAGAGACTTTCTGCTCAGTAAACATCAAGTCCCATTTTTAATGGATCAGTCCAGATAAGCTTTCAACATTTAAATGCTTATCAGAGTTCCTTTATTCAGGAAACCAAACAAGACACAGGTTTTCTTGTAAATTCAGCGTTGTTCCTGGTTTCTGTTACATCAACCCATGTTAAATGAGACATCCTGCACTGTTTATGCTTCTGTCTCTCTGAAAACAACTGAATACAATATATATGATCACTGAAGAGCAAAACACCTGCTGTTAAGCCTCTTCTATGATTTTTTCATATTTATTTGGGGTTACTAATTTTGCAATGTAGGTGCTTCTTGTCAGCGGTCTGCAAAAAACACATGGGAAATACAAGTAGGAGGATCACAGTTTCTGTCTCCCAGGTGGAGTGGTTTGGCTCCAAACCCTGCCATGGGTGGGTGGTTTGGTGCTGTACAAGAAAGGGAGATCCCAACAGCAGCTGGTGGTGCCCAGCAGTGGAGCAGGAGGAACAAGCAGGAACTGATGCCCAGAAGTTCCACTTGAACATGAGGAAGAATTTCTTCTCCTGTGCAGTGACTGAGCACTGAACAGATTGTCCAGAGAGGGTGTGGAGCCTCCCACACTGGAGATCTCCCCTCTGGACACAATCCTGTGCTGTGTGCTCTGGGGTGACCCTGCTTGAGCAGGGAGGTGAGATCAGGTGACCCATGGTGGTCCTCTCCAGCCTGACCCATCCTGTGAGAGGGAAGAGCCAAGTGTGTGAGGAGGGTTTGAGCAGTGGTTGGACAGAGGCCTTTTCTGTAGCTCAATTCTTCTGACCAGTCACTTACTCCATCTCTTCTTTCTGTCCCTGTTGTGTTTTCCACTAAATGTGTAGAACGTGAATGTTGTGTTCAAATGACAAAGTGTCTGACAAAAAGCAGAAATGATCATGTGGTTTGGGGTTGGTTTGGTTTTTCCCCCCAGTCTTAGCCAAACAAATGACTGTATCAGCACTTTGTCAGAAATGACACAGCTGGTCACAAAAATGATGGTGCCTCAGGAGGGGTCCCGTGACATTTATTTGGGAAAAGCACCCCTTGCTTCTGACAGTCCCCTCTCTGCCTCTGTTACTAACCCTGTGCCATCCCTCACATACTGATTTAAGTGTTTGCAAAGCTATATTGGAAACTGAGGCAAAGTCATTGAAATAGCCTAGATTAAAAAAAAAAAAATAAACCAGCCTCCACCCCGCTCCAAAAAAACCCCAAACAGACAAATAACCCAAATCAACCAACCAAAAATCCACAAAGCAAACAAAACCCCAGAAATTTCCAGAGGGGAGGCAAAAGCCACTTCCAGACAACTTTTATGGTCATTATTCCCATGCAATATTGTGTGGCACGCTGAAAAATATTTAAGAATAACATCAATTTAATGTGAAATCAAATGCCAGAACGGATGATACAGTGGTTGCATTATTGAGTAGCATACTGAATTCAATTAAATCTTGTCTTGTTAATAAATCTTGCATCACTGCTGACAGCTGCTGTGAAGAATCCTGAGATTGTTTTGTAAGGACGTTCAGCCTGTTCCTAGCGGTGCCTGAGGAGCTGGTGGATGGCTGCCCAGCACAGTAAAATGATTGCATCTTGTGAGGCTGACTGCAGATTGCTATCACAGTAATAAAAACCAAGTTAAAAATTACAAAAACCTGGTACCTCTAAAAGCTTATGAGCCATAGAAATTACCTACTAGTAACTCCTTACTACCTCTGAGTAATTGTTTATTAGGTTGCTGGTTAGATTTTAAGTTGGAAGAATTGGACAAACTGCTGTTGGTCTTTATCATGATCTCTCTTTTTCTGCTGTTCTGATGCAGCAGCTGTTGCTGGGAATCAAACCCCTGATTCACAGAAAGGAGGAATAACTCATTTTTCCAGATAACACTTGCTGCATTACCTGTGTACACATTTCTTTCCCAGTGGAGCATGGCAAAAACGAGCAAGTTCTACACAGCTGGCAAGGCTAAAAAAGAAACATAATCTACAGCTGATGAAACTGGTAGATTATATAGGAAAATAGTTCCCACTCTTCTTTCATTCTAAAGAAAACTCTTACCAATTTTTTTTCATCTGATTACTGTTCTTAGACTTTTTTTTTTTAATGTCACTATTTACAGAAACTTTTAGGAAAGAATTTGTGTCTTTTATATTATTTCTTAGGTTTAGAACTATAAAGATTATCTTCCTGAACTAAGCACTCCCTCCTTAGCCCGGCTTTGAAATGCTTCCGTTATGCTTATTGAGAAGTTTAGGAATGAGAGATGTCCATTCAGAAAAGTGTTTAAAATAATGATAAATAAACAATAAAGACCATGAGGGTTAAAGATTAAAAATTGAACTTTTAACTACTATCTCCTTGCTTTGCAGCCTTAATATGTGCACTGTGATTCCTCCTCTGCATTAACATTCAGAAAGTTTTTCCCCATGAACATGTAATTGTTTGTATTAGAAGCTTAAATGTTGTACTCAAAATTAGAATCATGCCTGTGGGTATTTAAAATGGAAGAATAATACCAGTTAATGACTTCAGAGTAACTAGTAAAATTACATCAGGGAGTGTAATTCAGATTTTGCAGATTGGCCAAATTTATATTGATGAGAAATACATAAGATTTAGCTCAGTAAAATTTAATGAAACCAAGCATATATTGAGGAAAGAGAAGTGTGCAGGCTTATTTGTTGTAGAAATTTCTTGACTTTTTCTTTCAGAGATAAATTAAGTTCTGCTTTATGGAAATTTCTGGTTATTTTTTTGAAACATTGTTATACTTTTTGATGTAAGCAGTTATATGGTCTTGCAGATAGGTTTCTTTAGTAAATTTAATTTACTGGAAGTTGTTTCTTCACAAAAATAAACTTATTTCTACACCAGGAGTCCACGAAGGCATATTCCTGTGCAGAAAGAATTCAGGTGGCTTGAAATACGAAGGAAACCAGAAGAGTTGCAGTTCAGAATTCCAGGTGTTTTCTAGAAAATTACTCCATCACTTTTCCGGCTGTTTTCACCTTTGTGACACCTTGTGTTCAAAGATAACTCACACCTCCTCTGAAGAATGCACAGCTCTTGCCTTGGGCTGGCTCAGTGGGCTCCAGCACTCAGGTCACTCACAGCCATCATCTGGCTTGCCCTGTGAGCTGTGATTTGTATCACAGGTTCTAGTTCCTCCAAGTACAACTGCTTCTCACTTCTATCCTCAAAATTTGGTGTAACTTCATCCTCCAGTTTCAGCAGAGTTTTGCTTTATCTAAAAGGGAGGGTGCTATAAATAACTTTTTGCTGTGGAAGGTACGAGATACAGCAGTTTGCATCTTGCTGTTAATTGCAAAGAGCCAAGAGTTTCAAGATGAAAATAGGATCTATCTTGTGAACTTCCTAGTGAAGATACAGAATTTGGAGAGATTAGAATGGAATTAGTTAATTAAATAACTTATTTCTTTATAAAATAATTGGAGAACTTCTGGTAAAATACTGGACACTTCGATAAAAGTGTTACCAAAAAAAGGGAAATGCAAATTCATACACACCCATGCTTTAATGAACCAGATAAATCCTCCAGGTGGTCAGTGGATGCACAAGCACTAAAATAGTATGATATAAATCTAATGTTTAAAGTTGGGCAGTTTATTCAGTGATTGAATCAAATTAAGAGCATGTGTGTGATGTTCTACTAGCACAGAAATGCTACAGGGAATGAACAAAAAGGTAAGCCTAATAATGTTATCCGTAGAACATCTCAAAGGAAGCAGAACAGAACAACATGTTTTAACCCAACAGCTCACAAAGCAGGCCTCTTATGTATCAAAGCCAATTAGGACAGAGTCCAACAATCACAAAAGATATTTAGGCATAAAGAGATACCCAGCAATGTTTTGTTTTATCTCTGAAGTAGATCATTAAAGGCTTCCTGTCATATTTCTTCACGACTTCTTTTCAGGAAAGTCTATTTCCCTCTCCTCGGGAGGAGAACAGGACCTACCAGAGCACCTCACTTGGCTCCCTCCCAGCCGCCCCGTGGGCTGCAATCCAGGCAGGGAACAACAATCAACCTGCACCAGCAGAGCTCTGATTGCTGCCCTTCCTCATTGTCCTCGTCACGCTGCACAACGTGGCTCCAAATTCTCATCCCATCCAAGCTGTGGCACGTGCAGAGAAGCTTCTGGATGTACCAGGGAGTCTTTGCAGCATAAAGCTGAGCCAGGAGTTCTGCCACAGCAGCAATTTGGGTGCTGCTGGCCTGGCACAGTCTCAAATTCCCAGGGAAAAATAGGAATTGCTTGTAACAGTTAATGTAGGGAGAAGTAGGGTGAGCACCAGGTGAGAAGTTTCTCTTCTGTCAAGACCAGCTTTTGCTTTCATATGATTTTCTAGGTCTGGAGCACAGTCCTTGAACAAAGCAATAGCAACTCTTTTTACATTTGAAGAAAGTCTGGATGCAATAGGCCTCCAGCAGGTTATTGGGGAGACTTTCATTCCTGCATACATGAGAAATGGGAGGAATAGAGGTAATTAGCCAGCCTGTATCCCAGACTGATGCCTAAAGGTTCCATTGTTTATTGATACATAGCAATATTTTAAAAACAACTTCTCAGATTAATGTATTTACATGCTCTCAGTTGGCTCTTGTTCTTTTTCTCCTTTCTTGGCCATCCTCCACAGACTTGTAATGGGAGTCACTGCACGGTTCTCCCTCTCTACTCAGCCTTTGGGTTTCTAACTCAAATGTATCACTCTTTTAGGGGGAAGTGTGTGTGTCCCACAAGTATGTTTTCCCAGGCTTCCTCCTTGTCACTGTAAAATCAATGTAAAGCATGTCCTGCTGTTTGTCTAAGCAGGGAGAGAAATTGTGTCATCCTCCACCACAGACACTTCACTGCTATTTAGCCTGTCTACAGTCCACTGTTAACTCCTATCCTTAGGTAATCTGAATTTTTAATGGGAAGTGTTTTGGTTTAGAATCAGGCAGATAGTGTCATTGTTTCTCATGCACTCTCTTTTGCCCTCACTTTATTTCAATCCTTCAATAACAAAACAGCTGAATATAATATGGAAAAATCAGTTTATTTTCTGAAATTAAGTGAACTTCATCCAAGCTCAAAATCCTACAGTCACTTTTAGTATTTGCAAGTACACACTCACTAAAAATATTTTGACATCTAGACTGTCAGATAATCTGTGAGTAACAGTTACATCATTCAATGAGATAACTGTTAATTTCTAGAGTAATTTATTGGGAAAACAAAGCATTTACTGCAGTGAAATACACTACGGGATGCTGGAAAAGCTACAGAACATTTCTTCAAGTGAAGTAATTGGTTTCAGAATGCAGAATATTCTCTTGTGACAAAAACACAGGCAAATAAGAGAGCCAGCAAACATCACTGAATAGAGTGTACCTGCAGAGAGTGGAGTTGTCACAGACCTCCAGGAAGCTTTAGGATCCTCATGCAGAAGGATCTAATGCATGGGACAAAGAGGAGGAGTGCTCAGGGTTATACCCCTTACAGGACAGGCTCGTGAGGCACAAAGGTTCATGCAGCAAATGCTTTATTTGGAGTGATTTAAAAGCTGGAGGAGTTCTCAGCACTGTGGTGCCGTGCCCAGAACAAGGCGCTGTCTCTGGGCAGAGGTGTTGGCTGGCATAATGCAGTCGTGGCTCTGGAGGGTTCCACAGTGGTTGGTTTTACATCCTCCAGTTCTGCTTCACTGCCATTTCTCAGTTGCTTTTGTCTCTTCAAAAGCTGTCTTCTTGTTGTAGGGAAATGTCAGAGCATTATGTGTAATGATGGTAGTGATCATTCCCAGAGCACCCAGAGGAACAAATTCCAGGTTTTGTGTGATGCTGTTGGGTGGTGTCAGTCTGAGGCTACAGGATGTGTGTGCTTTTCATCTGGCATAGTTTGTGTCTCATACTGACTTACACATAAAATTTAAGTTAGGATTTGGGTTTCTTGGAAAGAAAACAAGGGATTTTTCATGCATTTTATTGTGTAATTAACAAATAGTAAATTGTTACCCTGCTTGCTGCTGTTGGCAGTGATGACAATAAAAGTCAGGATTTTTGAGGAATAAGCAAGACCATGTCATGGAGGAAAATCAGCAACTTTAAAGATTATTCAGCCATTAAAGAAAGGTGTTTGCAGAATGGGCAATCTCAGCTTTCAAGGTCTTCTTAACACTGTCCTGTCCAATTAGCCCACCAA